TCTTGTACATCTTCTGCATCTGCTTCAACTTGCACGGGAGCTGGAGCTGCAGGAACTGGGTCAAAATCAATCATGTCTTGCTGCTGCTGAGGAGGAACCCGCCCCTTTGTCTTCACAATATCCTCAATTGTTTGGTCTTCAAGAAACACAACGTCACGGCTTCTCAAAACATTGCTTGCTATAGGGTCAAACAGCTTGTAGCCAAACTCATCACCACCATAGCCAAGAAAGATACACTGTCGTGTCTTCGAATCAAGCTTTGACCTTTCATCTTGAGGAATATGAACAAAGTCCTTGCACCCAAAAATCTTCAGGTGGTCATATGAGACGTCCTTGTCACACCAGACCCTGTTAGGAACATCTCCCTGCAAAGGATAACTTGGTGAGAGATTAATAAGATAAACTGGAGTCATCAAAGCATCACCCCAAGGTTGTCAGAATCGTGATTTTGAATCGGATCGGAGCTTCGATGGTAGGATCGCAAATCGTAGAATCTTCACTATCAGGATCGTAGAAACGTAGATTCTAAGAACTAAAGTCGTAGAATCATAGTGGTTAGTTTGGATCGTAAAGTCGTAGAATCGTCTAACAGAATCGCGATTCTGACAACCTTGCTCACCCCAAAAGTGTTTGCGTAGCTTTGCACTTGACAACAAGCATCTAACTCTCTCCACAATTGTCCTGTTCATCCTCTCAGCAAGACCATTCAGCTGTGGTGTCTTCGAGGGAGTAAATTGATGCCTAATACTTTGCTGCTTGGAATATGCATCAAATGGCCCAATATACTCTCCTCCATTATTAGTGCGAATGCACTTGATCTTCTTCGCAGTTTCTCTCTCAACCGAGGCTTGGAATTGCTTGAATACACCTAGTACTTGATCTTTGGTCCTCAAAGTGAAGGCCCAAACTTTCCTCGAAAGGTCATCAATAAAAGTCACAAAGTACTTAGCACCACCAAGAGATCTTACCGACATTTTGCAAACATCGGAATGTATCAAGTCCAGCTTCTCGGGATTCTTGTGAGGAGGTAGAGTCTTGAAGGCAACTCGGTGTTGCTTCCCTGCTAGACAATCTGAAAATTTCTTGATGTGAACTCCTTTCACACCCTTCAACAATTTTTTCTTCACTAGCACTTTCATCCCCTTCTCACTCATGTGCCCAGGTCTCTTGTGCCATAGAGCACAATGATCATCCTTCTCTAGTGCATTGACAGAAGCACTAAAGAGCTTAGCATGAACATGATACAACACTGAGACCATTTTACCTCTTACAACAATCATGTTACCTTTGGTGAGCTTGTACTGCCCTTTTCCAAAACTGCTCAAGTAATCATCTCCATCAAGCAAACCAACTGAAATAATATTGAGACGAAGTGCCTCAACATGTCTCACAGATTTGAGGACTAACCTTGTACCATTTGCGGTCTCCAAATGCACATCTCCTTTTCCAATAATGGCTGCTCTATCATTGTTCCCCATCTTCACAACACCAAAATCACCTGATATATAGTTAGTGAAGAGCTCTCTGCGAGATGTAGCATGAATGGTAGCACCGCTGTCCGGTATCCAAATCATCTCGTCACCATCCACAAGGTTGACGGTTTCATTAGAAACAACAATGATCTTCTCCTCAATAGTGGAACCAAATCTTCCCTCATTTTCTTCATGCATAACAAGCATGATGTCCTCTTCTACTGCAGTAACTCGGTTGCCCTCTATGTCACTATCACTGTCAACTTGCTTCTGATCTTGCTTCTTCTTTTTCTTTTTGTCTTTCTTCCACTTGTCACATTGCCACTTAATGTGGCCCTTCTGATGGCAGTGATGGCACTCATAATCAGCATACTTACTTTTTGATTTGCTCCTACCTCTTTCTGCCCCTTTACCCGGACCTCTGCTCTTACTTCTCCCCCTGGACTGAGTGACCAGCACCTCTGAATGTGAGGAAGAACTAGCTTCAGCCACCTTTCTGGACTCTTCATTTAGTACCCTGGTTTTCACAAGATTCCAAGTGACAAGTCCATTAGGTGCTGAATTGCAACCCGTGACCTTAAAGGTCTCCCAGCTGTCCGATAATGAGCCTAGTAGCAGCAAAGCTCTCACTTCATCTTCAAATGTTATTCCCATTGAAGAAAGCTGATTTATAATGCCTTGAAATGTATTCACATGATCTGCAATTAGAGTGCCCTCTTTGTACCTCAAGCACATCAATTGTTTGATCAAGAACATCTTGTTTGTATCTTCTTTTCGGGCAAACAACTTTTCCAATTTCTACCATAAGGTGCGTGCATGTGTCTCATCAATGATATGGTTCAAAACATTGTCATCGACTCATTGCCGAATGAACCCACAAGCTTGGCGATGAAGTACCTTCCACTGACCTTCCTCAATGCCCTCCGGCATCTCAGTGGAGAACACTGGCTTCCAGTATTCTTTCACATACAACAAGTCCTCCATCTTGCCCTTCCATGCTTGATAATTTGTACCATTCAAAGATATCATCCTTCTGGTATTCACTTCCATCTTTCACCATAAGAAACTCAGCAATTTGCGCAAGCAAACCAAGACTCTGATACCACTTTGTTGGGGCTGGAAAGCAACAACGCACTGCACAAATTCACCAACACGGCAAATATGCACACTACACAGCCCCCTCCACTTGTGATGAACTTTGAGGACAGCTTCAACCAACAAGTAAGCAGCGGAATAACACAAACAACATGCACATGTGACACAGGATTTAACGTGGGAAAACCTCTTCAACTTGAGGAGTAAAAGAACCACGGCTGTGGACCGACCGGTCCATGCAACTTCACTATGAGAATGATGAGTACAAAGTCTGCTCTAGAACCTCTAGAGTGATTTACAACACACTCTCCACGTTGCCAACCGGCAACAACAACAACAACCACAAGAGGCAAGATTTCAGCAAAGCAGAGTTTACACAGCTTCTGTACCCTTCAGTGTTTTGCAAACTGTTCTTAAACTGCTGAACCAAACAACACCAAATCTGGCAGACAAGTAGACACATGAGTTCTTGACTTCCCCTCCAAATTTCAGCTTAATCGGACAACATTTGCCTACCCAAACTGTTCGTCTCCCAAAACTACTCTGTTCTGAAACTGCAGCAGTCAGAGCTGGCAAAACCACTCTAAAATCTGATGCTCCACTGACCCAATCCTCAAACCAGCTAACCAGATCGAAGTACTCAAAGTAAGGAACGAGCTCACCAAGTTTGGGGTCGATCCAAGCACGTTTGAGCCTGCAATCACTAGCTTGAACACTGTCTAGTCAGATGTAGCAAATCTGGACCGAGCCTCTGCTTCTTCTTCTTCCTCTCTCTCAGGTTGTGTTTTCTCTTGTGTGCTCTCACTCTCACTCTCACACGAATGGCAGCCACCACCAGCAGGGGTGGAGTGGCTAGGGTTTTCTCCTTGCTTCACTTCACTTGGAAGCACTCTCAGCCGTTGGATGCAGCGAGGATCAACGGCTGACATGTTTTGGACTTATGGGCTGATGTTGGGCTGCCAACACACCTCCATGTGGAGGGACTTAGCCCAACAAATCTGACTCGACAATTACTTTTTTGGAACCCGGTTACTTCAGCAAAAATCGAAGCATGGCGCATTGCAATAGCTTCACCGGTAATCAACATGATCAACAAAGCATACGCTTGCCAACCAACTTGTGGTTGAGATGGTTAGGTGGACAGTGGTATCCCCAACCCAGCAGGGTTCAAATCCTGGTGCTCGCATTATTCCTGAATTTATTTCAGGATTTTCGGCGATGCGCTTTCAGTGGGAGGAGACGTTTCCATCGACGACGAGGCGCCTACGGTGACTTCATAAATCTCAAGATGATATGCCGGCTCAGTCTCTCGAAGGTGCTCATAGGGGTAGGGTGTACATGTGTGCGTTGATAAGAATGAGTGTATGCGCGTGTATATGAGCGCTTGTGTCTAGCACAAGACCCAGTGGTTGCGGATGACAACACCAATGACCATGCATATATCGCAGCATTAACATTGATAATGACTGACTTAGCCGGCGACGGAGACCACTTGGTGATTGACGCTAGTGCTCATGCCTAATGGAGACAGTCGACCTGAAGTTGTACAATAAGATAAAATCAACATAAACTTTGATTCTGCCCACCACATGTGAGAATGGAAATCTGAAGCACTATAAATCCAGTTCAATTGCCATTGTTGCATATGGACAAAGCTTAATGATAAATCAGATGATCCTTAGACTGAAACGATCACCTGCAGGAAGGCAGTTGTGTGATCACTGATTGGGTTGGGAGGTAGACGCTTAGACTGAAAGGCTATGAAGATTTCTGGAAACAAAAAATGTTTAGGTGGCAAAGACTCTATTACAATTTTTAGCTAAAAGGCTGTGAAGGGGTTCTGGGAACGAAGAAGGGCCTTTTTCAAACACATGAACTTAAATAAGAAATAGTTTCAAATTCAAAAAAATAAAACCACGCTTAGATTGAGTGTAAAATAGTATGGAGGTGTTTCTTTACGGGTGTAACTTACCGGCTAATGAGCAATTTCCGTCCGGAAACGAAACGGCCAATCGAGGCATGTATTTTTTTTTACAGAGGTATTTGAAATGAAAACACTGATCCAAACAGGCCTTAAGTTCTATTAAGTAAGAATAAGAAGCAGGGAAAAAAGAATTCAAAAAGAATTTACTTTCAGGCAAAAAGAAGAAGAAGCACTAGTAGAAGCAGTAATTAAGAAAGCATATAACACAGGAGGCAAACAATTTCTCCCGAATTTAACGATCGATTGCATTCATCAGTTCTGATAATAGCTCATGCCGGCAACAAACACTCACACTTGATTTAACCTATGACGAAGTGACAGAAACATTCTGATCTGTCAGGGGCAACTAAGATAGATTTTGCAGAGCTAACTGACATACTGACGCTCAAAGCCTAACTAAATTTATTGATTTCTGCCTAAGGCGACCGGCCGATGTGCAATGAATGGCCCTAGTTGGGGGCGAAGAAGATCTCGGAGTCAAGCCTCCTGGACCGGAAGAGCTTCTCCATCTCCGGCGTCGTGTTGAATGACGCCTCCAGCACCTCCGGCGAGATGGCCTTCCACACCGATGTCTTCCCCGCCAGGTGGCTGAAGATCGGGCTGCAGCAACAATGCTATTATTAGATCATCCCCATGGATTAATTTCTGGAGAAGCACAAGTGCACAACACCATGACAAGTAGAATTTGTTTCAGTAATGAATTCCTTACTTGGGGGTGGTGATGATGGAGAACCACTCCATGCCAGAGGCATCAGCGATCTTGGACACAACGTGGAAGCGGGGCACGATGAAGAGGCTGCCGCCCTCGATGCGGGTCTCCAGCACACGCTTGCCGTCCGGGCCGACGACCTGCACGCGCCCGCTGCCACGGACGATATACGTGACCTGGTACGCCGAATCGCACGAGAATCCAGGGGAGCACATGGAGTGGGCGTCGATCCTGACCAGGTCAGCCCCCAGCCCGACCTCCTTAACAAGCGGCAGGTTGGCCGTGTTGAGCACCACCACACGGCCGCCCTTGGGGATGTCCACGTCGAGCTTGGCCTCCAGGCAGTTGAGCGCCATGTCCTTGCGGTCCTCTGCGACAGGCTCGGGGAGCTTCTGCCCGGCCAAGAGCTTGACGATGCCGGAGGCTGGCTGGCTGGAGACGAGCTTGGCCGCGTCATTCTGCTTGAGGTCCCAGGCGCGGCCGACGAACTCTGTGGAGAAGCCGGTGAAGATGCCGCTGGCGCCCGTGAGCTGGAAGTTGGTGAACTGGCCGGGCATGTGGCCCTTGGAGGTGTCGCCAAGGAAGAGGATGACGAGCTCCGTCGCAGACCCCGGGGTGTTGTGCCACCAGGTGACCACGCCGAACGGGAGCGCCAGAGCGTCACCCTCCTTGACGGCGACCACCTTCTCCTTGGTGGCCTCAGGCAGGACGATGCCACAGGTTCCCTTGCCTGTCAATCATAGATCAAAATGAGCAGTATTAGTACTACGAAACTCGTGGAAAAACAAGTCTAAACTGTTGATTAATGTTGCAACGAAGTTCCGAAAACAGCATGCATGTTAAGATCCGAGGAAAACCAACACGCATGGCCAAGTTGTGACGTAACAGAAAGATTTGATTAAAACAACAGGGCAAAACCAAATAAATGAAACATTCAGGACCTCTTAAGCAAAGAGATTTATTCAAAAGAAACGCAATAATAGTTCTTCTGTTATTATTGATTCGAAATAAGTGGGATCTGATGGAGACACACTTAACCTGATGAAACCGAACCCCAAAAAAAAAAACTAGCACGATTTCGGAACTGATCACAACGTGTGCATTCGTCAGACAATTCAGGAGAAATATGTCTCCCCTCAATCCCAATCTAGGTTAGCATTCGATCTAAACTGATTCGATAAATACGCTAGCATCTACGAACCAAAATTAACCTGACGAAACTAAACAATTCAGCAAACAACAACAATAATACTACTGTATTTGTTTTTGCTAACCTGACGAAACTAAACAAAACTAGCACGATTTCAGAAGTGATCACAAGTAAACAACGTGTATTCGACAGAGAGACAATTCAGGAGAGCTGCGATCCAAAATGAACGTTACCATTTGATTAATACACTGGCATCTACTAACCAAAATTAATTGAGTCAGATCGATCGGTTGGTCGGCGATCGAGATCGATCGGTTGCATGCACATACCTTGGAGGACGTAGGCGACCTTTGCGGAGTCGGAGTAGCTGGGGAGGGACATGCCGCCGGCGGCGAGCAAGAGCTTGGCTGCGCCGATGGAGGCGACACCGAGCATGGGCAGCTCGGCTGGGCTCCACTGGTAGTAGGCTCCGCCCTCGCCACCGTACGCCTTCGCCGGCTGCCTCGGGGTCAGATCCACCGCCATCGCCGCGAAAAGGAGAGGGAACACGAGCTACGATCGATCGAGGTTCTGGAAGTGCCGGGGGCAGGAGAGGAGAGTGCGATGAGGCGATGTGGGATGGGATCGGGCGCCGGCTATTTATAGCCCAGGAACCGGGAGGATGGAAGGCTGCTCAGCCTCATTGATAAGGTTAACGGCCGTATTAATAGGAGTGGATTAGGATTAACATAGGATAGTTGTTTCCCTTTTTTTAACTAACATAGGATAGCCAAACAAGTCAAAGTGTATTTAACATAAAAAATATTGTGAAACAACATAGTACCGAAGTTATGGTTGGCAACATTCTAACACCAATTCATGTTAACATAAAAAAAATTCTAACCTTCATGTTTGAATTGAAACTCCTGCTTTACCTACTTTCATTTTCTCTTGGAGGAAGAGTGGTTCTTGTCCTCCCTCTTTATGAATTCATATAATCAAATACAACAAATTATTACTCCTATATTTTTATTATAAAAGTTGGGGCATTTGTGAAGGCTGCAATGAATAATATTTAAAAGATTCATTCTCATATTTTACTTTCTGAGCAAATTAAAGGTTAATAAGCCAACTTGCATCTGATAATATTTAAGGTGTCATCCTCTGCAAGCTTCACCAGTGTTGCTCCACTGATAATGATGCCGTGATACTTTGTTCTAAAAACTAAAGAGCCAAGTAAAATTAATATATGAACCCCTGCTTAATGATGAGCTAGCAGGGGAAGTTTTTGTTGGGTCGGATTTTGTTTGCAGGTCGAATGATCATTGGCTCATTCAATTTAAACATCCAAAACCGTAGTGGTACAACAAAGACAAGGTAAGCACCTGGCCAATATCTTGATGTTGAAGCAAAAAAAAGCACATTGCTTATCAAGTTTATCTTCTTAATTCGATATTTAGATAATTTTGAGATACTTCCATAAATAGTTGCAGTTATCAATCAGATATATTTCATTATTTATTTTGTATTGCGGGATAGGTTAAGCATTTGTTCATTGGTATCGAACATTAAAATTGATGCTGAAAAAAATATATCTCAACTAGGTGCATAGTAGAGTATTTTGGTACAACAAGGACACGTTCTAGAGACATCACTATTTTCTTTATATTAAGTACCTGAAATATTAAACCTTCATATACTAGGTGCTAAGATTTGGTTTTGTACGATTGAGTCAAACTTACTTACCCTCTCGCAAATGTCAGAATTCAAAGTGAGTAGTGTACTATCAATAATAAGTCGCAAATTCAGTTATTTAAAAAAAACTACTTTGGCAAATATTAAATTTTGTATTATTTTGTACATTTTAGTTCAAATTTTGGCTTATACTAAAAATCCAAACTTGAAATAGTCGACATTTTGTAGTGCAAAGAAATGGAGCCGATATTATTACTTATATTATACGTGCAAACATTATTGTATTTCCTGACTCAATGCTCAAAAATTATTCGAGACAAGACTTTTAACACTCGGGTGCCCCTACACCATCTTTGACAGTAAATTCAGAAAAAATAGAAACAAAATCAAAAAAATCTGAAACTTCAGAACATCAAACATGATCAAACATTCGATATTCTTGCAAAGTTTCAGCCTCAAATAACATTCGAGGAGCCCTAACCTAAAGAACCAAAGTCAGTGTTCAAAGTTTATGTGCACTTTTGAGCAGTACCTTTTTTTTGTGAGGGCTCCTCAACTGTTATTTGTGTCTGAAAAATTGCAAGAACATAAAAAATTTGATCAGCTTTGATCCCCAAAGTTGCAGACTTTTTTTGCTTCTTTTTTCATCTTTGTGAATTTATTGTTCATGAGGGTGTAGGGGCACCCGGGAGCTATCACACCTTTCTCTAATGAATTTTTAAGAATATACATACCAATTTAAAAATGTAAATGTTTTAATTAAGGAATCCTCCTTCACATATATTTAAATGTATATAAGCATTACAAAGTAAATATGCATGATGTGTAATTATACCATATATTACGCAGTAATGGAAAGAGAAATAATATCCTTAGAGCATCTCCAATAGAATATGCATATTTAGAGATGTAGAAAATTACATCTTCAAAAAGTGCTTTTTACATCTTGACAAAAAGGGGCAACTCCAACAAATGATGTAAATTGATGATGTAAAAGTGCAACTCCAACAGATGACGCAAATGGAGATGCAAAACTTGTTGAACGGCCACGGGGACGGCGGCGATGCGACGCGATTCGAGGTGCGGAGAGGATGAGGACTGGTGGAGCAGTGACGAATGAACAGCGGAGGGGCGGAGGAGCGGCGAATTAGGGCGGCGGAGCAGCGGCGGAGGATTAGTGATTCGAGGCAGAGAGAGGAAGAGGAGCGGCTGCAGAACACCCACGGATGGCCCTGACACTACAGAGAACATGGCGGCAGCTCCGCGCGTGGGCGAACAGTGTCGCGCTGCGGGAGGACGGTGGAGGTGGGAAACTGTCGGCTGGCGGTGTGGCCCGCCTCCCCTACGTTCGGCGGTGGGTTGGGACTAGGAACAAGACCACCCCGTCCATGACCACGCTGTGGAAGCCATGAGGGCAGTCGAACCTCCGGGCAAGTTTCGATTCGAAACGGAGATCGATATCATATCAGCCGGTGTGGAGGACAACACTACTCCGGCATGGCAGGCGGTGAGGGACAGGTAGGAGGACTGACGGCGGGGTCGGAGGTGGGTGTGTAGGCAGGGGTGGCGGCGATTTTGGGCGAACTCGGCCAACGGCGGAGTTGGGTGGGCGGGCGACGGTTGTGCGGAAGCAGATGGAAGGCAGTTCGGTGGTGGTGCGCGGCTGGCAATTTTACATCTCCTATACGTGGAGATGTATATTTCCATCGTGAGGTGTTGTATTTAACATCTCTGGGAGGTGGAGATGTAGTTTTTCTTCATCTAAAGAATCTGTTGAAGAAGAGGGGTTTTGGGGCCTCGGAGATGCAAAAGTTAGTTATTTTTGCATCTACATCTTCTATTGGAGATGCTCTTATCCCGTGAAGATGCACGGGTTGATGACTAGTATATATTGAAAACCTCACACATGTTGTGACACTCCCCAATGCGCCCCGAGACTAGAAGTAGTTCGGTGCAGTCCCAAAGATGATATTTATTGCTTGTGTTGTTGACACGTCCCTCATGCATTATATTTAAGAAAAGGGTTTCAGCGCTTTATATTTTAAAGCAAGCATCATCACATTTAAATCTGAGCAAACCGATGCAAACACACACCACCGCACACAACACACCCATCCAAAGCAAAATACAAAGGTGAGCTAACTATAGATGTGTGAAGAAGAACACTTGTAGCCGGCGGAGACCACCACGAGCAATCCACACCACAACGGAGAGGTGAAACAGACAACGATGAAGCCAAGACTCCAAAACGGTGCCTATCAGAAGGGTAAGACCACGGATAGCCATCACCGCCTGATCCCCAAATCAAGTTTTCATCCGGAGCAAGGTGAAAGGAGTGGGAACGCAGCGACGAAGCCTTCAGGAAGGATATGACGTGAACGGAAACCGCCACTGTCGGCAAGTACACGGACTGGGCAGGTGATGTACCCTGGCGCTCACACCCCTCCGTCGCACCCTAAGCATATGTGTCGCCTCGAACATCGTCAGGGCTATGGAAACACACACACACACACACACACACACACACACACACACACACACACACAGAGACATGCCAGGAAAGGGGGAGGAGGTGGACGCATCCATGACCAGCACACCTAGTGTCGGCAATGGATGGCTCGACCACGTTGGCGCCACCCATCCCTTTGACCAACCTCCCCTCCGAGCACCCCTTGTGCCGCCCTACCTCGGTGGCCGATGTAGCTGCACGCGAGGCCACCAATGACATGACCACCGGCAAGAACTGTTGGGAAACATAGTAGAAAACAAAAAATTATGTGTCCTTTGCGAAGTGTCTCGGATTAGGTCTCACCTGTGTGACGGTCTATGAGAACCATTTCGGATAAGGGGGGCATAGGTTAGGTCTCTAGTAGTAATATGTGATGATACACGTTGAATGACTTGTT